AAGGAAAAGACTCAGGACAGGTGCTTAACATTTGTGAGAGATCCAGGGGCAAACTAAGTTTCAGTATAACTTCCTGCACTGCAGGTTAAACTGCTAGAGATTCTGTTCCATGTAAACCAGCAAAGAAAAGGAGAGAAATAAGAGTCAAATCCAGAAAATATATAGAACTCCATATGCTATTTCAGCTTCTAATACCCAGCATCGGTTTCTAGTTGAAGAGATAAAAATACAAAAATGGAAGGATTCAAGAATATAGTGTGAATGCAGCCAAGAGGAAGAGGACCTGACATATGGAGAACTTTTCCAAACAGCTAATAATTTTCTTAAAGAAATAGGGTTTAGTTCCCAGAGAGATTTCTGCAAACACTTTATAAACAAGATTGGATATTTTGTCAAATATTTGGGTTTAGTTTTTGAAAATTTAAAGAATATCCTAAAATGTGGGCCTAATCAAGATGCTAAAGATGAATTGATGTATAATACTCTTCACATGTGTTTATAGCAGATACAAGATTATTAATAACAAATATGTACCTTTTATGTTAATTCTTATGAAACAATTTTGAAGTATATTCTGCTAGAATCACTGCTATATTAAAAATTCTAAACTTGGGATACATTTTAAATTTGAATAGATTAGCACCTTGGTAAAGGACTAGAGGTTGACAGATGAAGGGAATGTGAAGATACTTGTTGAGGTGGAAAAAAAACTGGGATTACAACATTTAAGTCTTGCTTCCAAGCAAGTACAAAAGTGCACCTTAGTAGTTTCATTATGCTAATGTTAGCAGTTGCTGAATTATGGCAGATGCACCTGAAATTGGCAAAATGGAAATAATGACATTTTTCACAAAATTCGATATTTTTATGTTACTATAAGTTAATGTCACCTTTTTGGCAAAAAATAGCATGATTCAACCAGATTGGCTTATGTGTCTCTGTATCTTAGAAACGGTAGTCACAAGGTTTTTCTAACTTATGCTTCTATCTTAGTCCATTTGGGCTGCTATAACAAAATCCTGTAAACCGAATGGCTTATAAACAGTAGGGATGTATTTCACACAGTTCTGGAGGCTGGGAAGTCCAAGATCCAGACACTGACAAATTCAGTGTTTCATGAAGGCTCACTTCCTGGTTCATAGGCAGTCATCTGTTCACTCAAACCTCATATGGCAAAAGGGGTGAGTGGTCTTTCTGTGATCTCTTTTATAAACAGACTAATTCCAACCATGAGGACTCCACCCTCATGGTTCAGTAAATTCCCAGAGGCTTCTTATCCTAACACCATCCCTTTGTGGGCTCGGATTTCGACATACAAATTTTAGGAGAACACAAAGATTTACCATAGTAAACCTCCTACTTCAGTGTTATCAAATCCTATTTAATTTCCATGGTAGAATTTCTGAGAGATTTTGACCAACATATTCCATATCAAAACTAAATCTATTTGGGAAGGTACAATAAAAGTATTATCTCTATTGACCATACAGAAAGCAAATGAAAAATAAACCGATTTCTGAAGATAAAAGAGTGAATTTAGGAGATGCCATGAGGAACACAAGGAAGGACTTCTATGGGATACTTACGGCTCTTGATATCTCTCTTTCTGTATTGTCCCCCAAGTTTCACTGGAAGATTTAGTTTATATTCCAAATCCAACTAAATATTTGCATGCATTCTCACAAGTGTATAGAATGCCTCAACCTAGTTCACAAGTATCTGTTACACTCGCAGGTGAACAAATGAGTCTGTATTAGTCATATTCATATGATAGAGCAGAGTGGACTTGCAGAAGAGTCTTTACCCTCATCAGGGGACACAATAATGGCATTTATTCAAGGTATCTGGTAATTGCATTTATTCTAATATTTTCCAACTGAAGCAAAAAAATCGAAATGATAATTGAGAAAGCATTCAAAGAAACCTTGTGCATTTTCATATTGGTGCCAAAGTAAGAGTTAAGAGAATGTAATCTGTGTTATTATGGGCATGGCAAATATATTATCTTGAGTATTGTTGGAATGAAGCTGAGAAGAGCACCCTAGAGTAAATTTGTATTAAACTTGTTTCAAATCTTATTAAAATAACAAAAATAGTCAAGATCTGTTTTGTTTTATACTTGAAGTATTATTTCAGGTTCACCTTAGATAATTAGCAGATACTCTTGAGGGAATTTTAAAATGATTATACTAGTTTATAATAGGAAAAGCATGCACATGATATAGAAAGTCTATTTTAAAACTATAGAAGAACATACAATGGAAAGTAAGTTTTCCTCTAACCCCTGTCCTCTGACCACCCATTTACCCTCCAAAAGATAAGGACTGTTACTTGTTTTTGGTTACCCTTGTGGAAATGTTCTGTCCTTACATTAGTATATAATAGTCAGCCCTTTTTTGAACAAATGGTAATATAGTGCCACCTGGTCAGATACCTTGCATGTCATTTCACATAATGTCTTGGAGATGGCTCCATAGGAGTATATAGGGAACCGCTTCATTCTTTTCAGTGGTTGCTTTGGTTTCTGTTACTTTGAATGGATGTATCATAATTTATATAACCAGTCCCTCATTGATGAACATTTAGTACTATAAGTATCCTTATGTATATATATTATTTTGTACCTGTGCAATATATCAGTAGGATAAATTCTTACAGATGAAATTGCTAAGTCAAAGAGATTGTTCCTTTTCATTTTGATAAGATTTTGCCAAATTGCTATCCATAGAGGTTGCTATCCATACAGCTTTATTGCCTACAAAGAATTATGAGGGTAAAAATGATAATTATCAGAAAAATTATAGTAATTATCAGAAAAACCAATATTAATTATGTGACTACAAATGACCTATAGACCCCAGTCATAGTAATATGCAAGTTGATTCTTTAATGTTGATGACCTGGTATCTGCTACCTACTGTACTTTGAAGTAAATGAGCTTACCATTTCAAAAACATAGAGGTCCCATTTTTAACACTTAATTTAAATAACCTAACACAGTACTATTAATAGCTAACATTACCCAGGAGGCTGAGACAGGAGGATCACTTGAGCCCAGCAGTTCAAGACCAGCCTGGGCATCATAGCAAGACCCTGTCTCTAAAGAAATTAATCTTTTTGGCCAGGCACAGTGTCTCATGCCTGTAATCCCAGAATTTTGGGAAGCCTAGGCAGGCGGATCACAAAGTCAGGAGATCGAGACCATCCTGGCCAACGTGGTGAAATCCCATCACTACTAAAAGTACAAAAATTAGCTTGGTGTGGTGGCACATGTCTGTAATCCCAGCTACTTGGGAGGCTGAGGCACGAGAATCACTTGAACCCAGGAGGCAGAGGTTGCAGTAAGCCGAGATTGCGCCATTGCACTCCAGCCTGGCAACAGAGCAAGACACGGAGGGAAAATTAAAATTAATCTTTTTATTATTATTGTTAGTTAGATGTGGTGGCACGTGCCTTTAGTCTCAGCTACTTGGGAAGCTGAGGCCAGAGGATCACTTGAGCCCAGGAGTTTGAGGCTTCAGGGAGCTGTGATCTCACCACTGCACTCCAGCCTAGGTGACAAAATAAAACACCATCTCTTTATAAAAAATAAAACAATTTCCTAGCATGTGTCAGGCATTGTTCTAAGTGGATTATGTATTTCAACTTAATTTTTACAAAGTCCTACAAGCAATTATAATTGTTTTCCCAATTTACAGGTGAGAAAACCAAGGCCTGAGATATTATGTATTTTGGCAGAGCCTAGTACCTTATAGGGCTAGACCCTAGTCCTATAAGTTATTTTGAAAAATCATGCTAAACACATGTATACACATGTATAATTTGTGTGTGTGTGTGTGTGTGTGTGTGTGTGTGTATATATATTTTTTTTTAATTGTACTTTAGGTTCTGGGGTACATGTGCAGAACATGCAGGATTGTTGCATAGGTACATACATGGCAATGTGGTTTGCTGCCTCCATCCCCCCATCACCTATATCTGGCATTTCTCCCCATATTATTCCTCTCCAACATCCCCAACCCCAGCTGTCCCTCCCCTAGTTTCCCCCACCACAGACCCTAGTGTGTGATGCTCCCCTTCCTGTGTCCATGTGTTCTCGTCGTTCAGCACCCACCTATGAGTGAAAACATGCGGTGTTTGATTTTCTGTTCATGTGTCAGTTTGCTGAGAATGATGGTTTCCAGATTCTTCCATGTCCCTACAAAGGATACGAACTCATCGTTTTTTTATGGCTGCATAGTATTCCATGGTGTATATGTGCCACATTTTCCTTGTCCAGTCTATCATCGATGGGCATTTGGGTTGGTTCCAGGTGTTTGCTATTTTAAACAGTGCCGCAATTAACATACGTGTGCTTAAGTTGGTATTCACATTCTCATTGCAAATAATCCTTCTCTTTGTTGTATCTTTTTGTGCTTGCAAACCTGCCTTTTACAGATGAGGCAAATTAAAACAAAGTTGTTGGTTTGTTTTGTTTTGTCCTGAGATACCTAGAAAATTAGAAACCAAGTTGAAATGGTGTTTTATGACAATCCCAGGTATGATAAATAAATGTATAGCAATTTTTCATTTTTCATTTTAAGTTGATGACCCTCAAGTTGTTTCAGAAAGGTGTCCAAGAAGCTCCTAAGAAACCTTTATAATAATATTAAAGTGTTTTTTATAAAAAAACAATAACTTCCTGTGGTTCTTTCAGTAAGCTCTCATGACACTTTTTATCTGCAGGCTGTATTCTCCTGTGTCTTGACATGCAGGCTTAGGTGAAATATTGTGGGCATAAAAATTGCATTTGGTAGGTCTGCAAGGAAGGGGTCATGTAAAAGTCATCTTTGATTTGTTAATGGAATTTTTTTTTTTTTAGATGTAGTATATGGCAATAGTGATGTGCATCCTAAGGGAAAAAACGGTCTATTTTATAAAGATTTATTTTCATATTTATAAACTGTAGTTCTGTTGTGTGTTTTTGATTTAGTAACAATTTATGTGTTTTTCTGTCACAGAGCACTGCAGCCTGTGGTGTTGAGGCTCACAGCAATGCCATCCAGCCCTGCCACATCAGAGAGGCCATTCGACGCTACAGCCACAAGATTGGCCCACTTTCCCCATTCACAGTACGTAATAACAGAGTTATAAAAAGTTATATTTATAATATGAAAGAATTTTGATTTTCAAGTGGTCAAATGAAGAAGCAATGGAATTGTTGAAAGCAATTTGTGGTGACTGTAATTTTGTTGTATAAAAGTGGCATAATTCTCTTGGGAAGTAAAAGTCATTTTCGTCTCTTTGGAAGGACACTTTTTTCCCTACAAAATATTATTTTCTTTCAATTACAAATTAAGTTTTTTTGTTGTTGTTGAGGCTTATAGTTTCTATTTTTCAAAGCTTCAGTTTATAAAATGTTATTCTCAAATTATATGTATCCAAATATTGCCAGAAGCCCTTTATATTTTAAAATTGGTTAGATTAGCATTACCACTTCTATCAGATATCCTTCTCCTAAACATACTTTTAGTTGGAAGAAGAAGAGATATTTCTTTACCGGCTTTGAACTAGGCTGAAATGCGGACAGCCTTTTACATCTTCAAATGATTTGAAAACTTATAATCAGGGTTTTGTGTTGTTTTAATGGGGAATTAAAGACCTGATATTTCAGCAGCCTAAAGAAAATGTGTGCAGGTGTGTGTGTTTTAATTAAATGCTCATTTTATGTCCCTTTAAAAGAAAAAAAGCCTTATTTGTGTTAAGAGAAGTTTCTTCAAGTCCTACTCTGTTTATAAGGAACTAGTTCAACAGAAAGTAAAGTTTGATATATGTAACTGAGCAATAGTCAGATTTACTTTTTTGATATTGTGTTTTAACCTGCTAATGAAAATGTATAATATTATACATAAACAAATGAGTAAATAAATAAAAAGTATTACATCGTATATGTTTTTACCTAAAAGTGGATTTTACTTTTCGTAAAAGCCATTATTTTGTCTATATTATCTTTTTTCCTTATGTTAAGAGAATGCTTTCTTTTCATTCGTTGTTGTTATTAGTTGTTAATCCTGTAGATAGATTCTCTGCATTTTACTTTTCATAAAAGCCATGATTTTGTCTATATTATCTTTTTTCCTTATGTTAAGAGAATGCTTTCTTTTCATTCCTTGTTTTTATTAGTTGTTGTTAATTCTGTAGATACATTCTCTGCATAAGAGCAAAAACATGCTTTATGCTTTATAAATACATCAGAAGCTCTGTGATGGTGATACTTTTCACTTTTAATATTTAAAGTTTATCTTGTATAAGAACATGATTTTAATATTGCTGATTAAAGCAATATGCCCTTTTGCATGAATGTTATTAGAGTCTTATAATTTAAAAGAAATAGCTAAATCAAGTTTCTTTTACATAATGGGTGAAGCTGTTTTAAATGATAGGCCAAAGGGAAGATGAATATGAAAAATTATGAATGAGAAAAATAAGAGATAATTGGAAGTAAGAATTTAAAAACCGACTGAATTTGAAATAAACAACTTATAATGAAAGATTGAAAATATCAAATCCATAGGTGCCAATCAAATAATGACAAAAGGTTGAGACAATGGAAGAGAAAGGAAGAAAAGACAGTGCTTGATAATAATCTAGAAGCAATTAAAAGATAGCAAAGAGAAACACGATTTTTGAGAAGTAACCTAAAATGGTAACTAAAAGTAATAAATAAAATTACGTAAAGGAAAATGTATCCAGTACAAGGAGAAAACCTCCTAATCATGAAGTCTGCATTATTTCCTCAAAAAGAAGTAGTAGCTGCTTCACTCTTCAAATTTTTTGTTTTTAAAAAGACTGATCACTTGAGAACCATCTTGGTTAATGACATTATTTACATACATGTGTGTATGTACATCTTTTCTCCACATCCAACCTGGTACTTAATGTATTACTGCTTTTACAATCTAAGACTGTAGTATTAACATATGATCAAAAATGTACTTTAAGCTAGGTTCAGCTATTACCTAAGCTAATTTTTATTCAGTAAACATAAAGAATGGGCTTTTTTAAACTGATGACACAATTTTCAAATGTTTAATTTAAATACATCTGGAAAATAAAACAAGCCATGACCTGAAAGTTTCCGTTAGCCACTAATAGAACAATCAAACAAAATCAATGCAGATGGTAACAAACTCGACCCCAAGGGGCACCCAAGGTGTTATCGCGCCTCAGAAGGGACCCCGACTTGGAAAGGTCTGCTCCATTATCTACAGCTATGAGAATTTGCCCAGACTACAAGAGTGAATATGCCTGCACTTTTTTTTTTTTGAGACAGAGCCTTGCTCTGTTGCCCAGGCTGGAGTGCAGTGGTGCGATCTCAGCTCGCTGCAACTTCCGCCTCCCAGGTTCAAGCAATTCTCCCTGCCTCAGCCTCCTGAGTAGCTACAATTACAGGCGCCTGCCACCACACCCAGCTAATTTTTGTAATTTTTAGTAGAGATGGGGTTTCGCCATGTTGGCCAGGCTGGTCTTAAACTCCTGACCTCAGGTGATCCACCCACCTCAGCCTCCCAAAGTACTCGGATTACAGCTATGAGCCACTGCGCCTGGTCTGCCTACACTATTTTATATCAGGAATAGCATGACCGGGGTGTCACAGTTTTATGGTATATATTATAATACATAAGTCTACCTTTAGAGTTAAACGTTCTCTTTAAAATGGGATGGATTTGTAGACTGTGTTGCGTCAATAATGTGGCCATCCTGTATTGGCTCCTACAAACCTCCAGCTGCTAAAAAAAAAAAAAAAAAGGAGCTCATGGTACAGACTTACCATGGTTAGGGATGCTGATGTCCGGTTCCCTAAGGCCCCCTCTGAGGAACTGACATGGTACTTGGTATTTTAAGCTGCACTGGGGACACATTGCCACCTAAGCTTTGAGCTGCAGCTTCTAACAGTAGACAAGACATGTGGGCTGCCTCTGTAGTAATCATAGATTGACACCTATCTTTTCATATAGAAAGGCTGAACTGACTTGCCTCCAATGTAAAATGTCCTTAGTAAATTAAAATGCCAGTGAACAACTAGTTTATATTTATGAAGCACAGAGACTTTATCTTCATAGCATGTCATTCTGAATCTAGAGTGATTGGTACATATTTAAATGTAACATCTAATTTAGAATACCCATAACAATGTATATATATCCAGTTTCCAATAATTTGATATTGTTAATAGTTTACATGGAAACGTAATTCAAATAGCATATTTAAAAATCTGCTTTTGTGAGTCATCTTTCTGTCTACTATATGACTTCTGAAATAATTTTATACCAAATAACAAGATCAATTTCAGGCATATAATTCTTTATCTAAAGAATTGTAAGTGAATTTTTCGCCTTAGGAATTGTTTAAAATGATAGAAGAAAGGAATACTTAAAGCCATGTTAGCTGGAGAAGAGGGAAAAGAGTACAAACAATGGTTTCAATTGTAGTAGCTCCTGGGGTAGGAAATACACAGGGAGAATGGCATAAACATCAGTCGCCTGCCACATACCTGTGAACACCACATTCTCGAGTGCTGTGGAGACACATCCATCCCCACTCGGCAGTTAACAACAGTACTCTCTTTGGCATATTGGTTATCATTGGTGATTTGTTTCTTTTCTGTATTCTCATTTATTCTCAATCCTGTATGGAAGATAAGAGAAGGTATCATACCTTCTTAAGAAATTTTCCTAAGTCAAACTATTAATTGGACTAAATTAAATTAAAACAGAGCTAAGATTCAGGCCTTCCAACCCATACCTTCAAACTCTTTCTCCTGAAATACACACTTTTGCAGCTGTCCGCACCCTACCTCACTTTCTGTTTACACACTCTAAAGAACCTTTAGAGAAACTAATTTTACTTTTTGGCTTCTTGTTTATTTTTCTTAAGTAATTCTAAACATCACTTCAGATTCTCTGATCTGCAGTATTGTTGAATGCTTTTGCAACCTAGAACATCCTAAGTGATTTTGATGCTTGCCATCTTATATTGTTTTTATTCATAGTAGTTCATAATATGTGAAGTTATATTGTGTGGTGATTAAGAATTTTGGTCCTGGAGCTAAATGGCCAGGATCCAGATACCAGCTTTGCCATCTACAAGATGAGTAGCCTTACACGGGTTTCTTCACTTCTTTATGGCTGTTTCCCCATCTCTAAAGTGAGGATATTAGATTATACTTCACGATAGGATTTAAGAAGAACCGTGAACTTAATTAACATGTAAGAGTGCTTAACAAATTATGTTAGTAATATTGGAAGTCATAGTAGCTATGGTATATTTTTTAAGAGAGAAATAACACAAAGTAAGTGGAAACCATTCCACTCAACTACACTCAAATGCGCATGCCCATGCATACACATATGTGCACACAGAGGCTATGTGGCCTTACTCTATAATCCTAGAAAAAACTAAAAATTTAAATAATAATGTGTTTTTTGTTTATGGACTAATAGTTTATACCATTAAAATTTGAATACTATTTAAATATCATTGTTCCTAAAAATAAATGTTTATTTTTACTTTTTGGATTAATAATGGTTAAAGAACATTATTGCTTTTTTTAATCACTAAACATCATAAATAAGTCTTAGCAACTGAGTGTATATAGTTACCACCCGATTTTTTGCATGCCAGCTAGATTTTGCATACCAGTTTTCTGGAACAGAAATCTAAAGAACAAAAAATGGGTGAACTCATTTATAAAGTTTCTTCAATTTCAGTGTTTGTGACTTGACACATTTGTATAAGTTATTGAAAAGGTTTTCAGAAATTGATGAATATATCAAAGTTAATACATTTTTTAATTACTGGGCTTATTTTTCTCAACTTTTAAAGTTTCTTCAGCTTACTGATTATGAAAGAAATGCTAATATGTTAGAAAATTATGAAGATAGAGAAAAGCAAAGCAAAGAATAAAACTTACATCCTGGAGATAACTACTGTTAATATATCACTACCTTTCATTCTCCCTTTTTTCTTTGTATATACATATTAATAATTTAGCAAAATTGAGATTATTCTGATACTGCTACTTAACATTTTACAGTATATTATGTAGTCTTTAACACATGATTTTAATAGC